GAAAAAGGTGTATTTGTTGTCAGTAGCTTTCAATCCACGAGGGCGATATTTGTAACATCTTCGTCAAGTCTGAGCTAACTTCTACAGAACTTTCATACGATACTACAATGCTAATTTTGTCTGAGACATTTCTCTTTTTTTTCTGTTTTTTTTCATGTTTCTGGACTTGTTTATATGTATATGTGTTTAACACACCCCCATTGTGCTGTTACTTGTCCAGTTTTGTTTTCAACGAAACATCTGAATTCACGCAACGTGTTAGAAAGTTTGCCACAATAATGAAAGGTAAAACACTGACCTCGTGTAGACGTGCGGAATGTTACCTCCGCCTCGCCTGCGACAGCTAATTTCACCCAGTAAAACAATATTGTCTTCAGAATGTGCCTTTGTTGCTATTTTTGTGGAACATTTTTGTCATTGTAAATTTTTACATTATAATTTAAATTAGTGTTCTGAGAAGTCTGCTGGACCTACGAGTAATATGATACAAACCACATGCATTTTGGGGGTTTAAAACAATTGTTTGCAACATATCAAATTTTGTCCCCTTAATCTTAAAATTCCGGAAAACATGTTTGTTGTTCACTTGTATTTCTTTACACAGAGACATGCGTGCCTTTTGGTAGAAAGTTTACCGCAGTCATGGGAGGTGCCTAGTACGTTCATTTACTGTGAAGATACCGTGTGGTTATAAAATTTAGCATCCATAGGAGGCGGTAACAACAACCCATTGTAGTCAAAAACATGTGAAGATGAAAAACGGAATGAACTGAAACCAGTCTTTTAATCATGCCTGCATTGATTAAACATTTTATGGAAATCTTTTTATTGTATATTTAATTTGTTTGTGATTAAAATGTAAACATAATGCTGTGATGTCGCCATGTGATGCTTCGCATCAACGTTTTGGTGTTCTATGTTGCCTGTTGCTTTTCATGCCGAAGGGGAACGCACTCGTAGGTTGGAACCTAACCTATGGAACCAAACCAAACACTGGAGATAGGATTGACAGTCGATGGCCATCGTGCTGCTGGCAAAATCGACACAGTATTTATTACACGTGGTGACATGAATGTACATCTTCCATACTAGGAAACAAGGATACGCCACTGAACGATGACATGTCACTGACGCAACTGATTACGTGTCGGTTTGTCATGAGACTGAAATTGTTTCTACACTGACACACGTGTATGTTTCCACTTCGTCAGGAAGCCGCGAGCACGTATGTCGTAACAGGATCCCAATTCGCCCATTCCAGTCTTAAAACAACATGTCATGGTCTGTTGACTGTTGATTACGCAACGGTGAACTAGTGGCACCCCTATGATCTAAAAGAGGACTCTTCTGGTTGAAGTAGTTGAAGGACAAAAATAATTTATTTACTTCTGTTACTTGTCATTTTCTGACCACAATGAAATGATAATTTATTTATCTTATATCACATCATATCATCACATCATCTTTTAGTTGAAGTAGTTGAAGGACAAAAAGAAAGGTTTTTAAAGAATTTATTTCTGTTATTTGTCTGATACTTATTTATTCTGTTATTTGTCATTTTCCGATCACAATCGTGACATTGTCCATTCTCACTTCAACTTGATAAGGTGCCCAGCTGGTTCTGGATCGCCTCATTGTAGATCTGTTGGATGGGTTGTATCTCATCACGAACACGTTGTCGCGTTCTGGATCGCCTCATTGTAGATCTGTTGGATGGGTTGTATCTCATCACGAACACGTTGTCGCATTCTGGATCGCCTCATTGTAGATCTGTTGGATGGGTTGTATCTCATCACGAACACGTTGTCGCGTTCTGGATCGCCTCATTGTAGATCTGTTGGATGGGTTGTATCTCATCACGAACACGTTGTCGCAGTCTGGTGAGGAGTCTGGTCTCTTCTTCATTCACCAGAGGAGGGTGGTTGTGCTCTGTGACCGAAGATACGTGGTCGCCAATGGTACTGCATTTACCTTTACATTTATCTATGATGCATTTCCAGTGTGTGGCAACCTGTCTCACAACATTCAGTCGATACTTGTGGCCATCATGTAGTACCTGTCTTCCTCCTCTCTGAGACAAGATGAACTCTGCCCTCTGCAGGTTAGCCAGTGTGACTGTCAGTGCTTGGCGAACGCTCCATTTTAAAGGGTTAATTTTAAAGCCTATTATTAGCAGAACTGAGTATTTTACAGTGAGAAATTAACTACATGTCATCATTGCTTTTTCAATTTAGCTTGTTCATTATATTATCACCTTGTTTGAACTTCTAAATTAATCCTCTTTACTCAACTACATATCCTTATAACAACTCAGTATTTCACAGTGAGAAATTAACTACATCTCATCATCGCATGCATTAATCCCTGTCATTTTATTTTAACCCTGTTTTAACTTCTCAGTGGACGCACTAATCCTGTTTACCCAACTACATATCCTTATAACAACAGTCTATCAACACTCAGTGAGTCAGGTTCATTATAAGAGTAGGGGTGCATTCTCTAAACCCAATTCGCCTACATTGTTTTTGTAGGCGAATTGAGATGTAGGCGAATAGAGACTAAACCGAATTGCCCGTCACCTTCAGCACTCAATCACTTAGTTTGGTCGTGAGTACTGGCCAGGTTAGGGTCCGGCTCCTTGGTCAGCACTGGTGATAAACCGTGACGCATAACTATGACACAAACATGAACATGTATATAGTATTAATGAATATGTATATATTTATTATCAATATATTCAACAATTTAAGTAAAATATGATCAATGTTGATGCAAATCTTACATTTATAAGAGCTTACATTTCAGTCGATGACCCTCGGGAGAGATTGAGGTTGTTAATCCATTGATTCTTCGTATCCATTTCCCCCTCAGTATCTATTACTATAAACATCATGTTTCCATCAAGACATCCCGTACTATCTTAGGGATGTATTTTCTATTATGGATTCATTACTACAAAAGCACAAGCATAACTCAAACAGAATCTGGGCAGTATCACATATACAAATGAAGCCTATGAGATCTCCATGGATTCGGCATGACTTGCTGATGACCAGACGGACGCAATACGATTCCGGCCATAACCCCGCAAGGCCTAGACTGTGTATAAGATGCAGGGATAATCCGTCGAAGTCCAGACAATTGATCAGAGTAGTATTTGGCCTCCTGGGCTGACCATTGATTCCAGAGTATCGCGGCGGTCTGACCAGCTTGTCTTTCATCGCTGGCTAATATCCCCCAAGGGCTACAATGCAGGGAATGTCTCAGTACTGATTCCTTCGTTTAGGATAAATCCGAGGTGCCTAAGATTGTACTTTAGAGTGAGTCAGTGAGCTATGTGTATCCATGCAGTGTATAAGTGATCGAGTCTGGGCAAGGTAACCTAGTGGTCAAAGACAGGCGCTATGATCCACAACGCCAGGTCTTAGTGACACACATACAGGTCACAAATGGTAGGCGACTATAGAAAGGTGTGAATTTAGGGTCGAATTTCTTACGGATTCCCATCGGAGATCTTGATTTAGTATTATCAGAGTATAGACGTAATTGAAGAAGTATCGCTTATACTGCGGTCCTGTTCATATACATATTGAATGTTGAATCAGTTATACACTGTAGTTATATCGTGAAGAGAAGCGACTAGTTGTGTAGCGGATAAGACCACGTTTTGGATATACTGAGAGAGACCTCGTCAATCAGTCAATGAGCCTATAGACCGTTATATACGATTTGGTTGGTTGGTTTGTTGTTACAGCGTTGGTCTGTAAATAATCGAATCTGGACCAGACAACCCAGTGATCAATATCTGCGCAACTGGGAACTGATGACTGAGTCAACCCAGTCAGTAAGTCTGGCCATCCGATCCCGTTACTCACCTCTTACGACAAGCATGAGTTGCTGAAGATCAATTCTGACCCGGATCTTCACGGGTTCATCATGTAGGAGGGGCGACTGAAGCGTTCGGAGTCACACAATACTGAATTATATAGTACATACTTACTGTATGTATCAAGTACAGTACTTTTATTAAGAACAGGCTGCATTGGAACCAAATACACAACCAGGCAGCGTGATACTCTGACGCTTGTGATGAAGATAGACAACACTGGCTGCGGCTCCGACTGAATTCGTGAGAATTTATGTCGTGTTTAAGCACACACAGCTAATTCTGTTGAGCGATTTGTAGCCACTATCGGCAAGAAGCTAAACATCAGTCATATTAACGCCTTACGTCAAACATCTAACGCCTCCTCCTGAGAAAAAGCTGGTGGCTGTTTCATGAGCTGGCAAAGTGAAAGCTTCGGTTTTCTTGAATTCTAAAGGAGTCCTAAAACTGGTCTTCAGACCGCACCAATAAGGAATCAATAGTATGTTAGTCTGGGATTACTCATGAATAGAATATATTGTGTTGAAAAGTAACAATGTATTTAAACATAGCTTAAAACACATTGACTGACTGAAAACATTTCTTTAAAGACAAGGATTCTGTCGAGTCGAGTCTATTGTTCGTAATAGTATGGGGGGCGGTGGGGTAGCCTAGTGGTTAAAGCGTCCGCTCATCACGCCGAAGGCCCGGGTTCGAATCCCCACATGGGCACAAGGTGTGAAGCCCATTTCTGGTGTCCCCCGCCGTGATATTGCTGGAATATTGCTAAAAGCGGCGTAAAGCCATACTCACTCACTCACTCACTCGTAATAGTATGCAACACAAACGACTTCTAATTTTAAATGTCTGGAATTGATCCGTTCTGGTATTGTTAAAGTGGCGGTTAGAAACACTCACTTGTGGAGACGGTTATCTCTGAATAATACTGGCAATATTTCCTCATTGTTTATAGAGTTTTCAAGAACACATTGTGGCGACGTCTGTTCCAGATGCCAGGCTTCCGATTAAGAATCTCGTCGGGAAAACACCAGGTTTATTTAGATGTTGCTTAGAAGTAACAAGACGTGAAACATTTGCCAGACATGTTGATGAGCATGTTCTTTTTACATTTCAGCGCGTTGCACGAATTGTGGTTTTGTGTAGCCAAGAACGTTCCCCGGTGTTTCCACAACATGACTCACATCCACCAGCGGTTCACCCACTCCCCACACAACTGCCGCATGAATAATGACTACTTCCTGAAGATACAGAAGATTATCAGAGAGAATGAGGAGAACGGGGATACCTCACCGACGCCGACGCCGACGCCGACGTCCACACCCTCCACCACGACGTCTAAAGGTGGGGACAAGGACCCTGGATACACGGTGGGACATCAGGGAGGAGGGCCTAGCGGTGGGGGTAAGCTCTTCGTTGATTTTTAATTGTGATAGAGACGGGGCCTGGAAATAGTTTCACGTTTAGTCCAAAACTTGCCAAATTATTATATAATAGGGGATGGGGGTTAACAGTTGGATAGATTAAGTCCAAGTATGCGTGTGTAGCAAGACGACAATATCGTAATGAGGGAGTGGTTTATTGTCGCTTTTAGCAATACGTTAATCAGAGCTTAGAGGAAGATACGGAGAATGATCTTCGGTGTACCCATGTGAGGATTCGATGCCGGATCTTCGGTGATGCAAGTCAACGCTTTAACCACAAGGCTACCATATCGTCATAGAGAGCTGGTGACAGTGTGTGATTGGCTGGTGTAGAGGCATTCCCTTTGATTAGTAATGCTATAATATCGGTAAAAGTATGAGGGGATATCAGTTGCTTGCTAACAGGATGTTCTTGGGGCTGTCGATATGGTTTGAGCTCATACAAAAGAATCACGGTGTAGGGCTAATATGTGTCTGTATATAAATTATGACATATCTATGGTTTTCAGAGGTAATTATCTCCTGATTCCATATAAAGAGATATAGATGATCTCTATCCATTAGAATTTAACGTACCATGCAAATGTCTCCAACATCAACCATTAAACTCACCACCTAGACGGCCCAGACAGCCAGCTGAGAATAGGTACACTTTAAGGCTCTACCTTCTGACTAGTTTCATACATAACATTTCATTTCTGTTTTAGGTCCCGCGGTGAAGAGCTGTGATCACGTGACATATTTACTGCTGAGCTTGATGATATTGGTGCATACACGTCCGGTGCTATAACCATCCATGGATACACTTAGAATGTCATCAGGGTGTGGTCTGACTGTTTGATTTGGAGAAAACATTAGCAGGAACACATTACGTGTATGTTCCATGAGACCGGACATTTATTTATGTTGCAACTGACCAATTGCCATGTCGGATAGTGCCCTTGACCTGAAGGTCAACAGAAAAACTGTCTGTATTTGCGACTTAAGCGTTTGATCATTTAATGTCGCTTTGCATCCATGTGTTAACAAACAGGCTCAGTCACGATTGTGTAATTAGAATATCTATCATTTCATACATATCACTTTGTTATCAGGGTGGGGTAAATATAAGTGATGTAAAGCATCGTGTACAATTTTTGGTATGCGAAAGAATGTTACTCGCGTTTCTCATGTTGTAGTCGAGTCTCCTTGCCTTGTTAAAACATTCCTGTGTAGACCTCATGTAAAATGAGTGAGTGAGTGAGTTAAGATTTAACGGCACATCGGTAATATTTCAGCCATATCCTGACGAACCTCATGTAAAAAATGTTCAAGGAGTTGTCGACAACTTGTAAGGACTGTTTCTTTACATTTCTCAACATTATGAAACTTCCACTGACACTTCACTCTCTGACTGACAAATCTTTCAACGTTAAGAGAGGGTACTAAACATCTCTCGACTATAAAACCATGGGATACGCCATGATCACGGGGACCTTTATAAAGAAAAAGAAAAATCTCGGGCGCTGTAAAATCTGTTCGTGATATATATTTCTGCTACAACCATCAAACCGTTTTAAATAAAGCTGGATGGCAATTGCAGATGTACACGTGATAGTTTGGGCCTGTGCTCGTCAGTCTTCATCAGGAAGTGAAAAGGCTTTTGAAAAACCGTGACTTTACGTTTCTTACAACACATCTTTATTCTTTTAAGACCTTAACTCACAGGGGCGGTGGGGTAGCCTAGTGGTTAAAGCGTTTGTTCGTCAAAGGCTCGGGTTCGATTCCCCACATGGGCACAACGTGTTAAGCCCATTTCTGGTGTCCCCCGCCGTGATATTGCTGGAATATTGCTAAAAGCGGCGTAAAACTAAACTCAGTCAGGCAGTCTTAACTCACAAGAGGCAGTGGGTATAACCTAGTAGTTAAGGCGTCCGCTGAAGACCCGGGTTCGATTCCCCACATGGGTACAATGTGTGAAGCCCATTTCTGGTGTCCCCCGCAGTGATATTGCTGGAATATTGCTAAAAGCGGCGTAAAACAATACTCACTCAGTCTTAACCCACAGTGCCCGTGAGGTAGAGAGCTCCACCCTGTTTCAGTTCGAGGTCATTTTGTTAACTAACATTGTAATTCCACACTGGGGACCAATTAACAAGTGTATATGTTTGCAAGGGTTAATATATATATGCGTGTTTATGCATGAATGCAGTAACGTACTGTCTTAATTGCCAATATATTCATGTTTTGTTTTATATGTTTATGATTGTTACCAAACAGATGTTTTATTTTTACTAAGAACTGTTCGATTAAGCTATGTTTGGTGTGAATTAACTCAACTAAAATACCACTCACTTAGAGCCAAACGCACAATTTCATTGAACTTGGTTTATAGGGAATCATACAAAACAATGTTTAGGTAAAGAGGATAGGTTTGGATAGACAGAAATCCCTTGATGGTACAGAAGAACGTAAGCTTGTCGGTATATGGCATATGTTTATTTGTAACTTATTGATTCTTTCAACAGTAACCGTTAGCAAACGAATGGATACATTTTGTTTTATATGGAAACTTGTAAAATACTAAATTGCTAAGGGGTATCTTTGACGTCCTATATTTGAAAATTATTGAATTTGGGAATGTTTTGGCCCATATTTACAACATTTCAAACATTCTAGGGGTCTTGAGGTTGCAACTATTTTTTCCCCAGTCATCTTTGAACCAAGATAATTTTGCGCACAATTACCCAGCCACAGATAACTTTTCATGAACTGTTGCATGAATAAGTAATGGTTAAACAGACATGATCTAATTTAACAACAGTTTGTTTTCGATTTTCACGTATATTAACTACAAGCTCAGTGTACTTCTTTCTGGCCTGTGAGAAATGTGAAATGTTATTCAAGATAGGTAAAAACATGTTGAGTTGTTGCTGAAGAAGAGTTAGAATGACTGTGGGAACGAATTTTGTCATTTTAATCCAACACGTTCATTTTGGTCTGTCATGTTAATGAGTGGTCATAGTGAATAATGCTTTGAGTGTTTAAATTGCTTATTTAATAGTTTATGTTTCTTCATCGTCGAAGTGTTGAACATCACGTTGGCAAATGACCCTGAACCTATGGTCATGATGATGACGATGATGATGATCAAAGGAAAACAATGGGCGCTTATCGTGTGGTACGTTGTCTGTATATATTTGTGTACAAAGTATGTGCCGCCCGTTAAGGATATATATATCGTTAGATTGTTTAAACGCTTTGTGGTATATTTTTGTATATTTTGTTGGTCAATTAACCGTTATTATTGGACCTCACGATGTAATTCATTCGTAAATTTCTGGTTTTATATGAATATTATGGTAAACCAGCCAATCTGCACAGACGCTTTTCCCATGGTTTCATTTGACATACATTGTATTGATTTTAATCAAGATTATGCACATGTATGTAGGTTTAAACCGATTCTGTACTGAAACACACAAGAAACGCCACAATCCAAAACGGTATCCGTACTTAAGTAGGACCTTTCTCAATGGCCAAGTGTTCATTCATTAGGTCTACTGATATTGTCCATATTGTCTAGGTAACTATGGTGACCAGTGGCTGCGGGTTTGATATACAGGATTATCCCACAGTTGGCAAACAATTTATGACGGTTTATATATACATCATGGTTAGCAGACAATTCAAGACAGCTAAATTTACATCATTTGCAGACAATTAAAGACGGTTTTCAGTAACAGAACTGCTAAATAAACGATACATCGAAAACTCGAATAAGTTACAGTATTTCATGTTTCATTGCTTTAAGAATCGACTGTATGGAATGTTTGGGGAAGGATTCGGATTTGTTTACATATTTTGGAAGAAAACGTTTATACAAGATTTATGCTTCATTTTCTTCCAAATAATTTGTTGGTGCTCCAAAACAAGCTCCACCCATTTGGCTTCTGATTTCAGAGCTACTTTCAAAACACTGAAACATAATCTGATGCAAACAAAAACCCAACCCCAAGAATATTACTTGGTAGATTGTTAAGGACGGACAATCAGAGTCCGGAGGAACCGTTAAGACGTAAGGAACGCTGTCATGTGCGTCATGGACTGACTGACCAAATCCCACCGAGAAGCCAGCACCTCCTTATCCCTACCAACTGTAACATATGTGTTGCTTCAACTGCACTGACTTGTCTGTGTGTGTTGCCGTTTATTTGAACATCAGCTATTTACCTGTTTGCCTTTGACAATGATGATGTGCCATCGCTCTGGCAAACAATTGCAACCTAGTGAGAGAATACAATCTCTGTTTGCTGAACTTTACCAATAACGAATTTCAAACATTGTTTTGCCTAGATCCTGTTTTTTCTCAGTTGTACCTATATCTGCTGATCGTAAATGGTTGTGAATTTGTAGGTCTACACATTATCTACCTTTGTTGTTTGTGCTCTGGTATGTACAATTTGGAAGAAACCTTCGCCTCTTTGAGGCCACTGATGTATATTTGTTCATGGTGGAAGGGTATATGTAGATAGAACATATTGTTCACAAGTCATGACTAACATTTGTGGTATAAACTTCTGTTACCGGTTCATTGATAATGTTCACGGCCACACTACACCCAGTAATCAACCACTAGTCCGTTTTTATCCATGTCCAAGTCAAGCTTAGCAGTAGTACTAGTCACAATCTAGTACAAGTTGCCTGCAAAAAATATTTCCAGATTCATAACTTTGCTCCAGCTGTGAACCAGAAAGGGAATCAAGTTAAAGTTGAAAAGATCAGGGCCCTGTAGCACAAAGCGATCTTAGCTAAGCTAAGGTTAAAGTATGGGCGTAATGATGACCTTAGCGCTACGATCGCTTTGCGCGGCGGGGCCCTTGGCCCCATTTCACAAAGCGAGCTTAGCGCAAAGGAGATCGTAACTCCCATACTTAACATAGACTTACGACAGTCTTAGCGCTACGTTCGCTTTGTGAAACAGGCCCCAGGTGTATTTTCTAGTGTGTGCATTTGCAGGTGTTAGAGATACGTCGTGAAAATGTTATCCATGAACCTGTCACAGAACAGAAGGTATATGACTTATATCTTCGTAAGTCCCATCCGGGCGGCAAGTGGTGGAACTGGGAGTATGGCTGCGCCAATCGTTAACGTGCGACAAACACCTCCGCTGCGGAGTTGTACAATTTATGATAATCACAGTTCAACCTGTGTCGGTGTACATGTTTATTTTGTGAGTGTTTATCTACTAATGTAGATAAGAACCCTCCTCGGTGTCTCCGGTTAGTATATCTATATCTGTTAGGAGAAACTCTGGAATAACCGGCCTCGCTGGCCTTGGTGAATTTGTATGCTGTATGATATTCGTACGTACCATCAGGGGATTAAGTGACAATCCGTGTTTGTGTACTGTTGTCCAATTGCATGTAACCGTTGAAGCGGTGTCAGCAACGCCTGGGTGTTGGGTGTGTGGAATCACTTCTACGACGATGGCAATACCGGGTATTGAAACTAGATATAGTAAATTAACCATTGATACCGAGAGGGGGTGTAAAGTCAAGGTTTGTACAAATTGTGATTGTATAAGCAGACTTGGTTCTCGACATTGGTGTGCTTGGGACAACAGCTATGAGTTGTATTTGTTTCCTCACGATTAAATTTATTTTTTACAGTTGACAAGAATCAATAAAATCAGAATTTGCATACCTTGTGTTTGGTTTTTTAAATATGTCGAAGCATGTACTACATTGTAAAACGTTATATTTAGCATCATCCGAGTGCCTGATTGGGTTTTCCCAAACTCAGTTGAGTCGCAGTTATCAGTATCTGATGATTGAGTGAGCGTAGTATCTATATTTAGATTCATCATAAGCGTTTATTGGTACAAAATCTACATTCCAAACGTTGTTTTTTTCGTATGACCATCAGAATCTCTGAATTATCTCACTGGATTTTCCGGTCCGTCGATCACTCAGGCAGCGGCGGCGCATGGAAGACAAGAGATGTTTGAAAACAGCCTGAGGTGTTCCAAATATCAGCAAGATATTGGCGTCAAATTGTCAGTTCTAATGTTTCCCCATGATGCCATCCCAGCATTATTTAATTTCCAAGCCCATACGTGCAACGTTAAGTAACACAAGCGTAAACGTTCAGTAACACAAGCGTCATCGAAATTTTAAAGGTTCTGCTGGACGTCTTTAGACCATTGCACGGCATTAAGAACAGTCAACAAGAAGCCTGGACTCGCATTGGACATTACCTGTCTCCTGTCCTGAACCTCCGATGCTGTCTACACGAAGAGAGGCACTGATTGTCCATTGACCAGAATTTCTGAATAGTTTTAACTGTAGTTAGAATTGTAGATACGTTGAGAAACGACGCAAAGAGGCCGCAACGTTTCCATCTGATTACGTGATCGAAAAGTTCAAGGAGGCGGCAAAGAAGCTGCGAAATCATGACTATATGTATTTGTAGCGCTCACTTTCACCAATATCGCGGCTACTGGTAGAGTTAACATGGACCAGTGACCCCAGGAAACTTTGTGGAACTGTAGTGATGATAGCCCTCGCACATCCGTGGGGTCATTTTAACCCACGTGTTTGAGCAATGTAATCAAGAAGGGTGTCCGATACAGCCATCAAAACTGATTCCGCGATTTGCGTCCGAACCAGAGAATCGGAGAGCTTCTGTTCCCGTGAGACCCTCTGTGTATGACTAGTACCAGACTAGAGTGCAGGGTAATCATCTGTTTCCGATTGGTACAGAAACGTATGTTGCAATGTTAAACAGGTTCCTGATTTTCCATTGACCTTGCAACAGTTGGGAAATCATGTCTGGTTCTTTCTCACGACCTGGGTCCGGGTTCGACTCCTCCAGTCGGGTTTTTGCTCCTTTATGTGTGTATGTGAACTCTGTCTAAGTACGCCAACAGCAATATCAAAATTTGATTACAACAAGGCTGAAAATTATCGCAGGCAAACCTTTGACTAAAGTATAAGTATTCGTTGCCAATCCCAGTGTGTTAAGTTCGGCGTTAAACATCAAACTCACACATGCGCTTGCAGTTTTCCATGTAAGTTCAATAATTGTGAACGCGACCTAAAATCCAAAACCACACCTTACACAAGCATAGGATCTTCAATCTGGAAGCGAATTTCTCCCTGGGTCACCACGGGAGGGTAGTGCCGTGTGCAAAATAAGCTTCACGCAGCTCCGTGATAAAATTAAACTAAACTGCTATCCTTACATCTGCTCTAACTTCTTTAACAAACAATATTTGCTGGTTCCACAATAGCTGTTATCGAATTTTGCAAATAATAGCTACATTACCTGTTCATCGCCTTGACAAAGAACATTGCAGCTGATTCCTGTTTACCTTACCTATACGCCCTTTACTACCCAGATAGATTTACAACTTCATATACATAACCATTCTATCCACACTGAGCCCATAGCGTCCATCACATCAAACTGGCACATCTTGGAGACAAAACCGATTCCGTACCCAATGATACCCATAGACATACCCACAGACATTTCTCACACAACATGAACTGGTACCCGTAGGAGTATACGTCCCCAACCTGTTCTCGCCGTAAGAGGCGAGAGAATGGATCCGGTGCTGCAGATCGCATGTCATCGTATTCCCAATGTGTGCATCGATGTCGGTTATTTACACCGCTGTTATATGGCAGGGATCGATGTCGGTTATTTACACCGCCGTTATATGGCAGGGATCGATGTCGGTTATTTACACCGCTGTTATATGGCAGGGATCGATGTCGGTTATTTACACCGCCGTTATATGGCAGGGATCGATGTCGGTTATTTACACCGCCGTTATATGGCAGGGATCGATGTCGGTTATTTACACCGCTGTTATATGGCAGGGATCGATGTCGGTTATTTACACCGCTGTTATATGGCAGGGATCGATGTCGGTTATTTACACCGCTGTTATATGGCAGGGATCGATGTCGGTTATTTACACCGCCGTTATATGGCAGGGATCGATGTCAGTTATTTACACCGCCGTTATATGGCAGGGATCGATGTCGGTTATTTACACCGCCGTTATATGGCAGGGATCGATGTCGGTTATTTACACCGCCGTTATATGGCAGGGATCGATGTCGGTTATTTACACCGCTGTTATATGGCAGGGATCGATGTCGGTTATTTACACCGCTGTTATATGGCAGGGATCGATGTCGGTTATTTACACCGCTGTTATATGGCAGGGATCGATGTCGGTTATTTACACCGCTGTTATATGGCAGGGATCGATGTCGGTTATTTACACCGCTGTTATATGGCAGGGATCGTGCTGAGTGCAACCAAACAGCATTCAGCGTCACTGGTTATGGAAGAACCAGACTGCAAAAATGTAAGCATGTTACGAGACACTGATATACACATTGGAGTCTGCCATTACAAGGCAAAAAGTGTCGCCGGCAGCCACACGGCAGGAAGTGTCTCCGGCAGCCATACGGCGGTAAGTGTTGTCGTCAGCTATTTTCCGTCAGGTAAAGTTAGAACCTTTCTGCCAGAATCCAGTCCAACTGAGGAGAATGAACTGTGGTACTTCTTCAATGCATCTTCCACTTCCTGTAAGGCTGATTTCGACGGTGGTGATTTCAATGACATGTGTAACCACTTGTAAACCGCTGCCTCATGTCTCAAGCAAATCTGGATGTGCAATGAGTTTCTATACTCACAAGGGGAAGAAAATACAAGTTTGGTTATCGATTACAATCATATATCTTGGTGTTAGATGTGGAGGAAGACGCCACTCTGGAGACCTTTGTGTAGGCCAAAGTAATTTAGTTTGCAATCTTCTTGTGCATTCTTTATATTTGACGTTGCAAGTACAAAAAAAATCAATCATCCCGAGATTTGACTATTTACGATTACCGAAGATGAAGTAAGTGTATAGAGTTCCAGCAGTCTGGTGCCCGATATTACATCAGTCGTTAAAGTACTGATTACATCAATTCTAACTGTCTATGACGGCCAGAATGACTTGATTGTCTGTCGTCTCTCTGATCTCGTTGCCAGTTCAATCTAAAGTTCTAGAAAAAATATTATATTTGGAGATAACTGCATGCTTATTTAAGAAATAAGCATCGCGACTAGCCAGCTGCACGGGTTTGGTTTTTGGTGTTTCAAGTGATAATGTTTAACCTATGAGAAGATTCGCACTGGAAATATTCATTAGTTTAGTTTCAGGGCCAAGCCAGTGCTTGTGAGTTTTGACTTCGGCGGTGGGGGTAGTCGAGTGGTTAAAGCGTTCGCTCGTCACGCCGAAGACCCGGGTTCGATTCTCCACATGGGTACAATTATGTGAAGCCCATTTCTGGTGTCCCCCCGCCGTGATATTGCTTGAATTAATGCCATACTCACTCACTCCTATGTTTTAGGAGAACAATTGACTGGCCTTTATATATGTATGTGACGAGTGCCACAGTTGGGGCTGGACATGCGCACCTTTTCGTGAACACTTGGTATCCTAACTGCAGGTATTTGATAGTGATTCATAAACACATGATACAATCCGACTCGTCAATGGACTTTTGGCAGATATTTTGTGAGTGTATGAAAGGGTCTTGTCGCTCATATTCCACCAAAATAAGACCTGCATCACCTCAAACCGTTCTTATATAAAGCTTAAAGGCCAAAATGTACATGAAACGAAGAAGCAACAGCAACACTATGATAATCTGAGAGGATAAGACATGTACACTAATCCAGCCAGAGTTACGGTTCTTACCTTTTTCAGGTGCCTTGAAATATACTGGGAAGACGAATAAGGGAACACCACAAAGCTTGTGAAGGAACCTGGAAATGAATAAAGGAACACTTGTACTTCCATGTGTTCCCTTATTTGTTTCCCTCAGTATATTACTTCTTGCTGCGACTAAAACTGAGAAACAATGTACACCTGCTTCAAAACGTTACTGTTTTATCACTGATAGTATATGTGTGTGCGCGGGTGCGTGTGCGTTTGGTGTTGAACGCCGTACTCACTAATATTCAAGCTACATGGCGGCTGTCTGACGTTCTTGTGTTTGCTTTAAGTGTAACCTGTTTTAGTCAGGATATCGCTGAAATATTGCCAATGTGACTTTAAATTTAAATTTATATTCACTCACTTACTCTAATGTTTGATGATATCATGAGGTACGAACCACACACCCGGGGTACGATCCACATCCTCTTGTTTGTCCCTCACCTTGAAACTACATATGACATGGCTGACTGTTCGGCTAATCACCGTCATCTTTTGTCAGAGAAGAATACTTCAGGCTGAACAATTCTTCATTGTACTGTTTAGAAAATCTCTACATGACATAAGGGGAGGTGGGGTAGACTAGTGGTTAAAGCTTTCGCTCGTCCGGGTTCGATTCCCCACATGGGTACAATGTGTGAAGCCCATTTCTGGTGTCCCCTGCCGTCATATTGCTGGAATATTGCTAAAAGCGACGTGAAACTAAACTCACTCACAGAACATAGAGACATACAACCTTATTGGACATCATTTTTAGTACATTGTCTTATTTTATATTGATATCCACCATTAATAAACACATTAAACAGTGACATTATTGTTAACCAAGTTTCATGTAACCTGGAGACTTTGTTCCCTGTTGGAGTAGGTCTTTTAACCTTCAATGCGATTTCCACGTTCTATGTGCACCCGCTTC